ACACACACACACACATACACATACACACACACACACACACACACACACACACACACACACACACACATATAATATATATATATTTATATATATATATATAATATATATATAAATGTTTTAGTAAATGACTGCTCCCCTTGCTCAGCTAACTACCCAACACAAAGAGGTGAACGCCTCGCTGACCTGCTCTTGCCTGAACGGAGGCCTGTTCAACACCAGGACATGGTTAGGATGAGGATGGTTCGAATGTAAGGATGGAGGGAAATTACGGAAATCGGGCAAAGAAGTGCAATCACGACGGAAATATATAAGGAGGAGAAGGTGAGGATCGCTTTTGTTCCTGTGAGTTGTTGATTCTGGTGAACATTTTGGACCTGCCTGAAGAAATAAGTTATCGTATATCATTTCGAAAATAATTATCATGAAATCTTATCACATAGTTTTATTTTAATTCCAGATATATATTTCCATATAAAAAAAATCGTATATCTTTTCGAAAATAATTTCGTGAAATCTTATCACATGGTTTTATTTTAATTCCTGATCATATTTCCTATATAAAAATCATCGTATATCATTTCCGAAATAATTATCATGAAATCTTATCACATAGTTTTACTTTAATTCCTGATCATATTTCCTATATAAAAATCATTAAACATTGTTGGAATTGACTATTCTGACAGACGGAAATATCCTTCATTTGCATTATCCCAGAACCGAATATTAATATATGGCTCTACATTATCCTAAGCAGCTGCCCTCTCACTCTCCTCCGTCTTCTATCACCTGGATCAAGTGTTTAGATAATGATAAACGTTCGATATATTATTTGGAAAATAGAATAATACGCATGACAATATTTCATACGCCATTATATTTTCCAAATGCTTACAATTATTTCATTACCCAAAATAAAGAAATCAATATGTAAAAGACGGACTGAACAGGAGATTGAAAGTAATGGGTTTCTTGAATGGTTTGGAGGGGGAACTATGGCATGGTGTTGGACACCAGTCGCTGAAACGACTATTAAAAGCGGAAGAATAGGTAGAGTCAAGGCTGAGGGAATATTCCCTTAGCCTTGGGTAGAGTGAAGCTAGAGTCGGCCCTTCGCTGGGAAATGCCCAATCTGCCCACGTCTATAGACTGTACCTAATAATTTGACACCAAATAATAGTATAAATTTTCGCAGCACCTACATCCTATATACCCACTATCATTATTCATTGCACCGCTGCATACATTCACTGCATTTCATTTTACTTCATATATTTTCACCAACAGTTTCGGAAACAATATAATGAATTAGGTTTACTGACGATGCACTTTAAATTAATTTTATCTCAACTTTAAACTGATCTAATCAATATAAATACTTTTTTATGTGTATATATTTGATTTAATCAATATAAATACTTCTTGTGGGTATATTATCGCGAGGGGCGGAGACAAGTGGCCCATCACACCCAAGCTGACCCTAACCAAACCGTGCTTCGCGATTCATGAACGCGACTGGAGGTCGTGGTTCGTAGGTAGGGCTGTCAAACCAGTAATAGCTTCTGCTTACGGCATGGAACGGTTATTGAGAGGAAATAACAGCGAATGCTTTGAGTTTACTTCATAGGAACACTAGGCGTGACAGGATGGGACTGAAACACAGCAGAACACTCACTCCTTGCTTTGCCTAGCGAATGAGATCAACCCCTTCCTCTCCCCCCCCCCCTTTCCTAACTATGTCCAGGTTAATTAAACGTAGGCCCCTGGACCTCCTTTCAGGACAAGAGGGCAAGATCTCTCCAAGCCAAGTCTGGCGAGTCGTCACCAGTGAACATAAATGAAATTCATATGCAAGTCTAGGGAATTTATAAGTACAAAATTCATTAAGCTTTGTTTCCTTCATGCTCCTCACAAACAGCTTGAAACTGACTTGGGTAGGTAGGCTGGAAAAAAAAAAAAAAAAAAAAAAAAAATCGGCGATGAATAGGCCCCTACACAATCATGACAGTGAAGCTCATCCTTCAGGATCGCGCCCACGTCCTCCAAATACTGAGGTCAGGAACGGCCGGCCACTCCTCGTTTCCGGAAAGGGAGGTCTCGTTGTCTTTGAGGAGGCCTGGAGTTGCGAGGACTTTCATGCAGGGCGCTTTGCTGTGAAGGAATGTGTCCCTTTGCGCATCGAGAACACAAGCAGGGACTCTCACGAAAGGAATCGCTTGCTGATAGAGAATCACGGATCGAAAACAGGGTTCAAACCAACTATATCCGCTTGGGCATAGGGTGGTCAGGTCGTTTGCCAAGGTCAGCATCGTAGGGAATCCTAAAGGGAATCCTGAGATTCCTCTGAGGAAATGTGTGTGTATGCATATAATGTATATATGTGTACGTATATATTTGTATATATATACATACGAATATAAGTACACACATATGTGTGTATGCGTGCGAATGTATAAATATACACACATGTATGAGTGTGTGTATAATATAATATACAATATATTATTCATGTATTTATGTATACTGCATATATTTACATACTGAATGTATACCTACACATTAATGGACATATATGTGTATATATATAAATATACATATATACATAAATAGATACAATATGTCTATGTGTGTATACAATCTCCGTACGTTTTATTACTCGGTATGCAAAGGATAGGAAGTATATGAATATTTCTTAACAATCACTTTATTACTTTTGGTTACACAAAATGCAGATTATTGTCTTTATCAAAGCCGAAAATTTCATCTTTCCAATACTGAATCTTACTGAAAACTGATAAAAAAAAAACATTATTCGAAATATCTGATTTCAACAGGAGCCAAATGGAGGTCAGGTCACTTGCCAAAGTTCAGCGCCGTCACGTCAGTCCTTCAAGGAGCGGCAGTTGTCCATTCCTCAGAGGATTCCTCAGAGCTCTCACTCTCGGAGCTGGAGGCTTGTTTGCGGCGTGGAGCGAATTAATGATTAATTAAGTAAATACAATATTCATTTGTGTATGCTATGTATATTCATAAATACACGTACATATGTATTTATATATACAGTGTTTGTGTGTGTGAGTGCATTAAAATATGTTTATATATATTATATATATATAATGTAGTACTATACTTGTATTTTTATATATATACTCATATATATATATTGCGGCTCATATATTTCCTTATTCTTCTAATATAGATAGATACAACACACAATGATACTCTAGGACTTACTGTGAATGGCTCCAAAAAACGGGACTATACACTAGTTTTATCACTTAATAAATATTTACATCATCATCATCGTTACCCTGCTGCAAACGACCTATCTGGGATCTTAATTATTTCAATACATATATGTATATGTATGTATGTATGCATGCATAATACA